TTTGTATTTGAGCGCCTGTATGTGGACTTCTTAAGATCTTGGTATGATTATGTCAAGTGGGGTTAGTTGAAATGAAATTACACGTTTAACAACTTTTTTTAATATTTTCATTGTGTTAATATTTTTTTTTTATTTTTGGGTTAAATAAAAACTATGTAACTATACTTACACAAAATGCAACTACCATTTCAATCAAAAGTAAAAATAGTTCATCACTTTAAGAGAAAAAAATAATTCAAAATTGCATAAAAAATTTACATTTTCCCCATAACATGGGTTAGGTAAATGAAAATAACTATTGCAAACTATAAGTGTTGTACCTACTGAACTCACATAAGGGACAAATTAAAGTAAATTTAATTAATCAACAAATAGGTATTCTTCTTTATTTTATCATTATTTAGTACCTACACTTTAATGCTTACTTGCTATTCCATAAACTTTCTATATATTATGTAAACAGTTTTTTGTTTATATTTATAGTGAAAATAACAATGTACCTACAGTAAAAATTATAAACAAAATAGTTAACAAACTTACAGCCTTTTTAGTTTCAAAATATATCACATGAATTAAATTAAGTTTATGGAGACCATGTTTAATGTACTCTACAAACATAGTATTTAACCAGTTATAAAAAAGTTTCACTTCCATTCATCCATTATTTGAAACTGCATATAAAGTTCCAGGATCCACCTGTCCATCTTCTTTGAATACAATAAAAGGTGGTAAATATTTTCCATTAGCAAGCCAACACAGAAATTGATCACCCACATCCACCTAAAATATGACTTAATTCAATACCTTTTTGTCGAGCTTTTTATACAATAGTTTCAAGTTTTGATGAATCTGCAGTATGAAAACAACTTTCATCACAATTTAAGACAAATGCATTGTCAGAAATATTATCTATGTAAACTGTTGTAATTTATCATAAAACTAAAAGTCATATTATATCGGGATTCCTTGCATCTTTAATTAATTTTTGTAATTGTTTTGGTTTTTAAAACTCAGGTTTGGGTAACATTTCATAAATGAATAGTACCAATCATCTCCAGGTGTATTATTTATAAGCAATGTAGAAATATTATTATAACAATATATTCTCTTACAAGTTCTTTCAACTCAGTCTTGTTACAATGTGGTTCCATTTGTGCACAAAGCAATCAAACATTATTCCATGTCATTATCAACATCCATGGTTGAAGCTGGCAATCGACCATTTTTAGTACATTTGATTATTATAGTTTGATGTCCTTTATTCTAATTAGATCATTCTAAAATCTATTCTACCATCTAAATCATTTATAGTGTGAATGGAAGTAAGTGTATTTAAATACTTTGTGAGTTGTCATAAATATTATATCGCTTTTTAACGGTTAATAGTACAAAAATACAATATGAATACCTAACTCAACGCAGTGCTGGCCATAAGTATTTGGGTACCCCCACTGGATTTAAAATTTTTTCATTGCATCTAAATTTACAATGCCGCCCCTAATTATTTAATTATCTAATTATCTACTTAAAAATTCTGCCTGGTGCGGTTTAAATGCCTTAACTAAATGTGGCATAAAAAAAAACACAGTCTCAAATAACTAGGTAATCGCTTTCAAACACTTATGTACACTTGGTAATATAACTATCAGAACAACTTACCTAGTTTTTCATATTTCTCTATTATATTATAATGAAGTTATATATTTTTGTGCTTTATATTTATATATGATTTTCTTGAGGATTTTCTAATACGACTAAATAATAAAAATTAGAATTTATCTTTAAAATTTTAAAATTTTGAATTTACTTTTGATTTGAGTTGAAAATGGCAATGACGATCAGTGCGAGCATATTATGGCAGAGCCCACTAATAATGACAATTTGAATCTTTCAAAAAATATTTAGTGTACACATTTGTTTTGTTTGGGTATTTTAAACAAAGTGTATCTAAAACAGACACTAAATATCAGTTTTTAAGTGTTGGTGCCAAAATATTTGTTCACCTGAAAATACGTTTTATTAAATATTTTGCCTGCAATCTCTTCTCCTCACCTAGTGACCAATTTCATAATAATAACTATAATTTTAATGGTTTATGTTCACAGTAATTGAGATATACTAAGTAGGATATTTCAGTATGGAACCATTAAGAACATCTGAAGTAAATTCCAAGTAAGCAAATACACTATAAGTCAGTGAAACATTATACAATTGTGAAATTTTAACTTACATTTTGAAATTATTTTATTTTATATAATTTTTTTAATTAATACATTGTACCTATCTGATTGAAATAATAATTGCCTAAGTACTGAATAATAAATAATAATTTTTTTTATGTTCAGTTCTAGAGTGCTGACTATTCCAATAATTAGATGTGACGATCAATTAGTATTCAATAGAGTTATCAAACAAGAATTTATTGATGATACAGACAATAATGATGATAACCAATTTATTCAAATGGGGTAAGAATTGTATTTACTTCACTGTGTAATATGAAATTTAATGATACTAACCTAACTGATAAACAACTATAGTCAACAATTAATATGACAGAAAATGTAATAGAAATAGAAGCCAATGCTAGAATCCTACTATTGCTTCTAACAGAAGCTATTAATTACTTAGGTTAATTTGTGGTTAGAAAATTGTTTAATAGATCATGGTACCAATGTCCCTTTTTACGTCAAACTGTGATGTCTACTACTAAACAATTTGTAAAAATTAACTTAATATGACTTTAAAACGTATTAACAGATTAGTAACTGCAGATCATTAAAAATAAATTTGGTATGGATTAGAATTTAATTTTTAAAAATATATTTATTTATTTATATGCAAATAAAACAATGTTATATATAAGTAAATTTTTTAATGTGTTTTCTTACCTCCTTTATATGCAATGCTTATGACAGAGGTGAGGAGTACTTAAGAAGTATTATACAAACTTAAGGTGAAATTAAAGACTTAATAATTTATTAATAACTTTTTAATTTATTATAATTTTTTCAAGTTTTACACATTTTGGATCACATATTTTTTTATTTAAATTAGGATTAAGAACTCCACAACTTATGCTCTAGCTTAACTAGAACAATAATTTACTTTAACTATTTGAGTTCTTTCACTTACGAAAGATTTTAATAGGTTATTAGCAACTCCACGAATATCTGAAAATTCTACTTTTTTTCAGCAATAACTTGTGATTTACTCAGGCATTTTGCACATCTAGAAAAATACCTATTACTTTATAACTAACATCAATACATCAACAAACAAAGTTATCTAGTTTAAAAAGCGCATTCATTGTTAACAAATCAACTAAAAAACCAAACTTTGAATTAAAAAAAAAATGTATAAATGATTTTAGATACACTTCAAAATGATACTGAGATAGGTCTATAATTTATTGCCTGATAAGTAATGGGGTTACAACACATTTCTTAAATGTTTAAAGAAAATGACCAATTAAATTGAAATAAAACTTATTAAATATTAACAATAAAGGTATAGAAATAGATTTAAAAATGTTCTTAAGAATGTAATTTGACAAACCATATTCATAAATAAATTATAATTTTTAATCATCAATATAATCACTAATCTCTTCATTAATAATTTGATTAAGAAAAATACTACCATTGCTTTATCATTAAAATGGACTATATCAGAATTTATATGTTGTTTTTCTAAATTTTTTTCTGCGTTTACAAAAACATCATTAAGTAATAAGTTCATTACAAAATTCAGTTTTAGATTCAATGACAATACCATCTTTATTTGTAATCCTATAATTTTATTCATATGTTTGCTCGATTTACCTATGATCTCATTAATAACATAGCAGATTTGTTTACTGTCAGATTAAGATTGTTTGAATTTATTTTTATAGGTAGTATATTTGTTTTGATTTTCTTTTTAATAAGTTTAAAATATTCCTAAATAATTTGTAGAAGTTCTTAAATTTTAAATCAAAAGGCCTATATCTCAGCTTATAAAAAAGTTTTTATATATTTCTAATAGAAGTAATAATGACAGGTATAATCTATGATTATAGATTTAATTATTTTTTTGGTTTGCTTTTTCGTCTATAGAGGTAGATGAATATTTAATAACTTCTTCCATTTTGCAATTACAATTGGGAACCATAATGCCTATATTTTAGGAATCAAAACAAGTATGTCAGTATTCAGTTTTAATTAATAAATCGGCATTTGTGTAACAGGTGATCTACTTACAAATTAAAAATACATTATTTTTATATATAAAAACACATTATATATTTAATACGTTATACCATACAAATGTTTGTCAAATACAAAAATAAAAAATAAATAGCCAATTATAAAAAAATTTCAAGTACATACCTAAACATTTTAAAAAAGTGTGTTGAAGATTTACTCACCTCCACCATGCTTCAATTAGATGAATATGTAAAAGTACAGATGTAATTCCATGCATTTTTCAAAGTATTTTCATTTTAAGATGTGACCAAATAGGGGTCTTGGTTGGTATCTAATATACGGGTACACGGAGCCTGGGCACGAGGGTAAAAATTATTTTATAGCCCATGTATTTCAGTGTATATATGTGTATTTAATACCCGTGTATTTATTTATTATTACCCATGTATATTCCAATAGTTGGTTATTTATTGATATTACAAATTGTATAGCCCTTCATTACTTACCTACCTATTATTTAAATATGTTATGATTACTTATAAGTTTTGCTTGAAAATAAGTGAGATGCCTTCTTAATAATATTTAAACTGGTTTGAAGATTAGAGCATAAACAATCACAAAGATATCTTATCGCCAATTTTATTGCATTGGGTTAACGTATGTACTATGAACTACGAATGCCTTGTATCTAAACATTTTTGGTGATTTTAAAACTGTTCCATACTGTTCAACCTTATTATGTCTGTGTTTACTATTTGTACGTGAAGTGTAGCACATTTGTATTATACATAATAAATATTTTTTCTTTGAAAAATGAGTTATCGGCCTAAAAGTTGGGTATGGCAATACAGCAAACGCCAAGGTGATAAAGGTTTTTGTGACATATGTGAAGATAATTCAAACAAAGTGTTTAGTTGTGCTGGTGGATCAACGGGATCATTTGGAAGACATTTAAAACTGATACACAATATAAGTCAAAGCTCTCTAAATCGAAGGTAAGTAATTCATTTGTAATACCTAATACCTAACCTTACATAATGATGAAATTAATTGTTTCAGAAAAACTATCTACTATCAAAATAATTTTTGGAACATCATACAATAAAATAATAAAACTCCTATTAAAATATGTTTTCTTGTTTTCTGTTACATTTTTTGACACTGAAACAATTGGTAGAATAGTTCAATATTAATTTTTGTTGTTTTTAATCTTCAAAATCTTAATTTTATTCATTAGAATTATGTAACGTTGCAGCTTAGTGGTGAAATTCAGACTCGATGTTGCGGGTTCAGACCCACCATATATTTTGCTTTATTTTCTATTATGACCATCATTTAAAACAAAATATTTTTTAATATTTAGTTTTATAAACACAAGACATAATATAGTTTATACTTTTTTCACACCACACACATTGTCCTAATAATAATAATTAGAATAACGTTAACAATAATAATAATTAATACAATTTTTATCGTCCAACTTCTATGCCTTTAAAATTGATTCAAGTAGTTGTTATTATTGTCATACTTTAATTTATTTCCTAGTGATGATAAATGTCATGAAGATGAAGAATGTAATACAGTTGTTAATTTAACACAATGTTCATTGTCATCCTCAAATAATTTAAATACTGAATGTTCATCCTCATCATCGGAATTTCGTGAACCACAATTCCGAAAATGACGTAGAACTTATATTGATAAGAACATTGAAAGAAACCGAATTTGTTCTTCTGAAAGAACAGAAGAAATCCATCAGGCGTTAGCTAAAATGATCGCCATGAATCAAATGTCCTTATCCTTTTGTTTTATTTCCGGATTTAAACAATTTATGAGCATAGTTAAACCAAATTATATAATTTGTAAGGGAAGTGCTATCAAACACACTCCAGGATTAAAATTGTCGGTTGAAGATATAATAATAAAGAATTAAATTATGCCAGGAGTGTAAGTGGCACATCTGACTGTTGGTCATCAATAGCTAAAGAATCATAACAGTTACTGCACATTTTATTGTAGACCAGTGGTGCCCAAAATCATACACCCTGATCACTCACAAATTAGACGATTGTCATACAGCTTCAAATCTTTCAAAAAATAATGTCAGTAGTTACTGATAATGCAAAGAATGTGTTGAATGCAGTTAATTTACTAGATAATATCACAGAAAAGAATGATCTAGTATGTGCCGCACATAGTTTACAACTGGCTGTCAACAATGCCCTAAAATATGATCAAATATAAAATTTAATTCAAGTATGTAGTAAAATTGTTTGTCATTTTAAGCATTCAAATTTAGCTATTTAATATTTAAAATACAAGCAAGAACAACTAGGTTTGACAACAGAAAGCTTGATTCAAAGCTGTAAAACTAGATGGAATTCTATATTTATGATGCTTGATCGACTTTTTAAAAGTAGGTGCCCAATATCAAATGTTCTTGCTAATCGTTCAATGACTACAGCAGCGATGACACACAAATTTGAAGTGACAGAGCACCAATGGACAGATGTAGAAACGTTAATAAAATTGCTTAAACCTCTACAAATTATGACCACTGTTTTTTTTGAGAAAAATATTGTTCGAGTTCAATGGTTAGGCCTCTTCTTAGGCCAGTTATACAAAAACATTTAAAGCATAATATAAGAGATGATGAAATATCTGAACCACTGTAATAAGGGAACTTTCAGATCGTTTTAAATTACTGTGGTGTCATTCTAGGCAAATAGCATCTTTTCTCGACCCAAGGTTCTTAGAACATGAAACGGTTAAATCAAGAGAGGAAATTCGGACACGGGTTAAAAATTTGATCAACGAAATGGCTGAAATTAATTGCGATGTGCAATTTGAAACACCTGTAACTAAACATCACGGTGCTCTTGAATTTCTGTTTTGCGATGAAGTAAACTGTAATACATCTGATTCTAACATTCAGTATCAACATTACTTGGCAGAACCACAGTTGAATTTTGATTTATTTTGATGCACTAGAATGGTGGAAGACACTTGCAACAGAATATCCACTAAATGTTGCTTTGGCAAGGAAATATTTAGGGATACCAACAACATCAGTAAGTTCTGAAAGATGTTTCTCAACCTCTAGAAACATAGCGACGGCCAAGAGAAGTTGTTTGGCGCCCAAGACGGTAAACATGCTGATTTTTCTTTATCAAAACAAACAATTATTATAGCTTCCTAGATAGTGAGTGATTGATTTGTAATTTTTTGCACTATATTATGCGTTACTATATAGTACACACTGCTTGTTAATTAATCTTATATTGTTATTATTATTTTGTATTTATTTTATACTATATAGTATATTATTATTGTTATTATCATTATCGTGTGAATTAATTAATTCACTGATATATATATATATATATATATATATATATATATATATATATATATATTATATACCTATTATATACCTATACATGTTTATTGTTATTTTGTTATTAATAATATTAGGCCATACAACTTTTTTTGGGAAAAAACGATATTTAAAATATTTAAATATTATAATGTACGAAAATGCAAATAAATAAATAAATTCTGTATTATTTGTTATACCTAATTTTCATTATCAATTACTCGAACATAACAAAAATTACACACACAAATGTGATAACGACTTATACTAGGGGGTAGCGAACACAATATAATATGATATAATAATATAATATATATATAACTAGCTGACCCGGCAAACGTTGTTTTGCCATATAAATAATTTCCTAGTAATTTATAGTGTAGACAAAAAATAGCTTACTTATTGGAAGTATGTATGTATGTTAGAATGTGTATATTGTATGTATGTAAGAATGTGGTATATGCGTGAAATAAGCATGGAGCGCTGTGAACGATGAGGGAATATAAAAATAACAAAAGGCAAACATTATTTTTAAGTTATTATAATTTATTCCGTAAAATTATATATCATTAATTAAACAATTACGACAGTAACACTATTAAACAATATCAATCTCTTAATGCTATAGCGTGAACAATATTTTTTGTTAGTCCATCATTAGCTAACACTAACAAACTGGATGGTTTACCCACTCGAGAGCATGCCACGTATAATTGTCCGTGTGAAAAACATGGTGTTCTCAAATCTAATCCACAAACAGACATCGTTTGACCTTGGGATTTGTTGATAGGCATTGCAAATGCCAATCTAATCGGAAACTGAATACGTTTGAATTGAATTGGCACATTATTAGTTATAATAGGAATCCGTGGTATGAGTATATTTTCACCTCTGAACTTGCCATTTAAAATCCTGGCTTCGATCACGTATTTCATTAATTTTTGAATGACTAATCGCGTACCGTTGCACAACCGGGGCGGGTTCAAATTACGAAGCATGATAATTGGAGATCCAACCTTTAATTGTAAATTATGCGGTGGCATGCCTGGCAAATCCAGTGAGTTCAAAAACTCTGTGGGAAAGTTTACTGCTTCGCTGTCGTTGCAAACCGTATCAATAGATTTATATGATACCAAGTTCTCTGGCAACAACATCTGTATCTTCAGATTTATATTGTCAACGTCTACATTTTTTGCCGCTAAAATCGCTCTTTCTGCAAGCCACTCATGATTTATGTACCGTGTGTGTACATCGGGAAATATTTGTTCAATGAGAGTATCTTGCGAATCAGCGATTGTGCAGAAATCGGTCGGTAATTTTACGTTTCTAGTTTCATCTATAGCAACTTTTCCATCACCGATATCTAAGAGTTGTTTTGAAAATGTTTCAGCGGATGGATCTTGAAGCATTTGAACGCGTTGTATCTATTATTTTTTTTTTTTTTTATATATATAACGAATACCTTAGCAACCATTTATAAACAATTATTTCTACCGTAAATTATCAAAATCCCTGTTTGAGCACTTCTTTAATTTTTTTCTGGACAACCCTTATCACTTAGGGGTATGAAAAATAGATGTTAGCCGATTCTCATACCTACTGAATATGCACAAAAAATTTCATCAAAATCTGTCAAGCCATTTCGGAGGAGTATGGCAACGAAAACTGTGACACGAGAATTTTATATATTAGATATAATACAATATATTATAAATGTATAATAATATTATTGAGTTCAGAGAGTTAAGAAATCGTTAAGTCAGAACTGCAAAGTAGTGAAATACAATTGTATTTAAGTTGTAATTATTTGAGTATCTTTGCTAACGGGTATTAAAAACACGGGTATACACTGGCATTTTTCTTACACCGGCTTTAACCCCGTTTTGTGTAAAAACACGGGTACCCATGTAGTTCATTACACGTGTAATCGAGATCTCTAGACCAAATGCATTCTTTAATCTGGGTGTTGGCTCCTGTTAGCGGTTGATAAAATTTTTAGAATGATTTAGAGTCAAGTGATTATAGCCTTTATTTTGTAAAACTTTATAGGGTTTTATTTCATCTGACATGATTGTTGTTCCTAGAAGTATTTCTTTTTCAATTATTAGAATAAGTGTAGCTCTATCTCGATGTTCAACAACAATAAAACGTTTCAAAACCCCCAGGTCCTTCTACTCATTTTCCATAGTACCTATTCCCGTTATTCGTCTGTTCAATTTGCACCCCAGTAGATAATCCTACCTCTTTTATATTTCCTTAAAAGGACTTCACGCCCGCATGCATGACAATATTTTGGAGGGCAATACGGTGAGTTATAAAAAAAAAAATTGTATTTTGAAAAGGTATGTTAAAAATGTTGAAATTTTTTTATATCTCTAAACGATATAATGAACGTTTAGAGATATATTGGGTACAATGGAAAAAACGCAACTACTTGCACTCTGAAAAATTGTCTCAATTCAATTTTATTAAAGGTATTTTTACTCTAGAACCACAATTGAGCGATTTATACCCAGACTGCATAAACGCGTTTCGTCTATATCGTACGTGTGTAAGACGGAGACAACATATGCGGTGTGACTTCCTCTTAAATAATATATATTAATAAATAATATAATAAATTAATAAATATAGGTATTAATCATGATATATTAATTATAATAATTATAATTATAGATCACCATCTACACCTAGTATAATATGATAAATCCATTGCAACATGAATGCCACTAAATCTAAATGATTTACCTATATTTATTTTATAAATATTCGAATTATTAGATAATATATTTTGATTATTATAATTATTATAAATTGCAAGTTTTATTGTTATACTAGTTGAATAATGACCGGTTATATCACATCTTAATATATAAGGAGTAATTTTATTTGTTATAATTTCAATGTTATTAACGAATATGTGGTCAATATAAGTTTGAGAATAATGACTCTAGTGTTATTATTAATAGATAATCATTACTTATTTTCGAGTGTTTCATAATATCGATATTAATGTCTCCACAGAAAATATTTACGTTTTTCCCACTCAAACAAGATAAGATAAATTCTAAATAATTGATAAAAATATCTTTATTATCATTGGGAAATCTATAAATACAAAATAGAAAGAATAAATCATTATTTATCTTAAGAGGACGTGATACCTGCATGTGTTGTATGAGTAGGTATAACACAACGAGTTATGAGTATTTTAAAATATACATACAATTTACAATTTTTAAATACTCATAACTCACTTTAAAATTAAAATGCCTAGATAATTAGATAATAATCTTACCTTTAGATTTACCATTTGGTACAAGCACGGATGTGGCAATTTCTCATGTAGTTCGACGTTTCAGTTCTGTTGCTTTCCAGTAGTATCTGCTTTGAATCGCCCGATAAATTTCCTTCCATCCTGGTTTTTTTACCAACGGTTGATTGTGGTATTTCCATAGTATGTGGTTCGCTGTTGACCTGTTTATTACCACTGGGGTTTCCACCTTTGTTTTTTCTTGCATAGGATGCCATAATCCATTTGGTATATTTGGATTTTCCCCCTAGTGTTTGTGTTTTGGTTATGTGATTGTAACCCTGCGATGATCTGTTTTATTTGCTCATCGGTTTGTTACCATTCCTTGATTTGCTCTAGAGCAATGTGGGTTTCCCTTCTAGATCCCTCCGGTTATACATTGCGTGTTTCGTGGGATTTCCCGTCCTGTCAGGGGCTCGATTAGGTAATTTTCCAACATTTCCTCGTCGACTGTTTGCCACTCTGAGGGATACCTTGATAACGCTTCTGCAGCTTCATTTTCTGTCCCTGAGGTGTGTATTACTGTGTAGTTGTAGGGTTCTAATTGCATTGCCCGGTGTAGTAGTTTCTTATTGTTGTGTTTTGCTGTTTCCAGCCACTTCAGGGCCACATTGTCCGTTAGGAGTTCAAAGTGCCCTGATTGGTCCATGTATGGTTTGTATTTGTCTACAGCCCATATTATCGTAAGGCATTCCATCTCTACTGCTAGGTTGTTGGATTGTGCCGGGTTCAATTTTTGATGTGCATGGCTGATTATTTTTCTGTTTATTTGCGATTCTCCCCTTTGAAATAGTACGGTCCCCACTCCGATTTCGCTTGCGTCTGTTTGTAAACAGAAATACTTCGTGTAGTCTGGTGGGGATAACCTCGGTGCTGTGGTTACTGCTTCCATGAGTTTACCAAAGGTATCTTCCTCTATTGTGGTCCATTTCTATCTGTTACCTTTGGTGAGCAGATTCATTAGGGGTGTTGCGAATTCTGAATATATTTTTACGAATTGGTTGTACCATCCGCAGATTCCTAGGAAACGTTGTATGTCCTTTGCATTTTTGGATATTGGGAATTTTGCTATGAATTCCAACTTGTCGATTTCTTTATTTGTCCCATCCCCGTCTACTACGTGTCCTATAAAGTGGATTTTTACTAATCCTAATTTGCTTTTTTTCGTTTGACACGCTAGTGGCTAGTCCATAGCGTTGTAGTCGTTCCAGTAATTTTTGTAGGTGTCCCAGGTGTTCTTCCATAGTTTTGGAGATTATCGCGGGTACTCCCTTTAGGCCGACTGGCATTACTTTGAACTGGTATAGCCCCCTTAGGTGTACGAAACGCTGTTAGTGGCTGGGCTTTGGGTGTTAGGCTTACTTGCCAGTGACCCGATTTTAAATCTAAAGTGATTTAAGACCTTTAAATAATTCAGACCTGACTCTGAATACCCACATAAGTTGTCGTTTTCGTGTACGCTGAATTTTTCCCGTGTTTCATACGAGCTGTTCATATCGACATTGTGTCTGTTTTCTGTCCGACTTTTGACGTCTTCTTTTGTTGTAACCGAAAATAGTAATTGTTCTACGGCTATACGGTTTTTGGCGGTGGTTATGTGGTCTTTGTTTTGTTGTTTTGATTTTTGATTTTTATTTTCTTTCCAGTGGGTTTTCCCCGACAACGTCGACCGTTTTCCCGTTTCCTGTCTTCTTGGTGTTCCGAAATTCGGATGATTTATCAGGAGTCTGCGGTTTTTCCGGTTCGGGATTTTCCCACTGGGTTTACCCTCTCCTCTGAAATTGGTTTCCCACAGTATATGTTGCTTCTTTAAGCTCCATGAATTTCTTCGATTTTTGCATCCGAATTAAAATTTGATGTTCTGATCGCATCAGTTCGATGATGGTCTCAACTGCATTTTCTTCGTCCATTCCCGTGTTCAGTCTAAGGAATCATTGTATTTTTTGTAACACAAAATCCCCCGTTGGTTGTCCAGTTGGTTGCTTCCACCCCATCAGTTCTATGTGGAGCTTTGCTCTAATTTGACATTCGTTAAACTTATTCGTAAATTCTTTGTAGAATTCTTCCCACGTGGAGTTGCTTTCTCTTATCCTATCACGAAAAACTATGATTTTAACACTTTCTCCCAAACACTGTCCAGATCGATAAAAACAATAAATAACTGTTATGTACCATTCCTTTCACATTTGGTAACAGGTTTATTATTTAAATATAAAAAAGTTCTTACAAAGGAATATAAATATAATAATATATTACCAGTTATTTATATGTAAAAATATAAAAATGAATATTACAAAACTAAATCGTAAGACATTAAAAGTTACAATATTAAAAAATTATAAAAGTAAAAACAAATTTATTATTAAAACATCATTTTCACCAAATACAATAATCTATATTACTATCACGGACTAAGAATAACAGAATTACCAGTTTGATTATAAAGTAGATAATTGAATGATTTTTAATTTTCATCATTCTTAAATCAAATAATTTTTTTCCTAAAGAAAATCATAACTCGAGAAATTTACAAAATATATGGTTTGTAATTAACTTTTGTGCCACCATAGCTGTAACTAATGGCCACAGATGCCGGGTTGTTTATTTAAGATCAATAAAAAAAAAAAGCGATATTTCTTATTATAAATGGTGGCCACCCTGTTGGTTCACTATCACCTATTTTATAATCAATATAACCAAAAGGTTTTATGTTACTTAACGAGACGTTACCGATTCGCGAAATTAATTAAATAAAAATTATGTATACTTTTTCTCTTTGTATTAAGTAAAAATAAAAATTGCGAATTTTACCCCGAACAATGGGTACTAGTCCAAAGTAGCATTTATTTGCCACTACCAGTCTGAGTCTTATTTCTTCGTTGCTGTCAGCATTCTCATTAATATTTACCCCTAAGTATTTGAAGTTGGCCACCCTTTCAATGTTACAATTATTTACTTCCAAATGTCTTATTTCTTGGTTATGTCTAGTAACTATCATGTACTTTGTTCTTTCTTCATTCACCATTAATCCGATTTTTTCACCTTCTATCAGTTTACTAGTAGTTCTCTTAAGGTCTTCCTCACTCTCTGCCATTATTATAACATCGTCTTCGTACCTTGTCACTACCAGTTGCTGGCCATTTCCCATTTTGATTCCCGTTGGTCCAGCCAAAGTTTCTCTCATTGCTGATTCCAGCGCTATATTAAAAATTGCTAGTGTCTTAAGCCTGTCCTTAACTCAAATTCTTCTGATTTTCCCCCCATACTTGACTGCATTTTGATCGTTCAATATTTTGTTCAACAGTGTCACATTCTTCTGCTACTACATCTCTTCTAGGTTGATTCAAGAGTGTCTGAAACATCATTCAGCCTTTGCTATTTTGTAATTTTCTGTTGACAGTCCCATCCTCCATTCTTATTATTGTATGTCTGGTTTAAAACTTCTTCTCACCTCGTTGGTCTTTTCGAAGAATATCCTTGTGTTATTTTTTCTATTATCCTTTATTTGCTTCACTTTTCCTTTTTCCCATAATCTTTTTTTCATCCTAATTATTCTGTTTGCCCCTTTTTGTCTTATGGCTAACATTCTTTTGTTCTCCTCTGTTGGGTCTTATACCACTCTTAAACGCGTTTTATCTCTATCTGCAATAGCTTCCTTACATTGTTCATTAAACCATGATTTTCTTTTTATCCTTGGTTCATGGCTCAAAATTTTAATTAAATATACTGATCATATTACATTTGATTCACTCTAATTTTATTTTTATTTTCTTATCTGTCTACTAATAAAATATTTAATGTTTGTGTTATTTAATCTAAACTAAAGAACTTTGTCATTGTTGTCATTATTTTATGTGATCAATATTTGCTAAAATATTGTTTGTCACAGTATTACACACACAATTTTATAAGTTATGCACTGATCTAGTTTAATATTATGTATTTTGCTCAAACACATGATTAAATTTAATATAAATATGTTAATTGATTATACAACAAAAAATCTACCGTACATTATATACATAATTATCAAACTCGCCTAGTAGTTATCTGATTTTATGTATTTTATTTTATCATTATTATTATTTTGTGTTCATTATTTTCTTATATGTTTTTTTGCCATAGTATTAAAAACATAATTTAAAAAGCTATGCAATGAACTAATTCAATATATTGTCTGACTCATGATTAAATATTATATAGATAATATGCTTAAATAACAAAAATTATCAAACTTTCCCATTACAATCTACATTATATTAATATTTGAAATAATTTTTATTTTTAGAGTTAAATGTGAATTTAAAGAAGAAATAAACACTACTAAAACCAAAATAAAAATTGAAAAGGATATGAACGACAGTTCTATGTTTGAAGGATCAGTTAAAAACGAATACCACTATTCGGAACTAAATACTCTAATGAATTTAGACAATACATCGAACTTAAGGAAAACATTTTCTAATTCAAGTGATTTTCAAGTCAATAAAAAAATTCAAACTCATCATATCAAACAAAAATGCAATATCTCTGATAAATTAATTACCCCAAAAGCACATTTCACAAAACATTCTAAAATTCTAATTAGTACAAGCAAAAAAACGTTTGATTGCGACTATTGTAAAAAGTCATATAATACGAAATCAGATCTGATTACACACATATTGTGTTGTACGGAAGGAAAGATCTATAAATCGGATATTTGTAATAAAGAGGATTCTCAAGCAAGAAATTTAGAAATGAATATAAAGAACCATACTGGATTTAAGTCATTTAAATGTAATGTCTGTGATAAAAGGTTTACTGTGAAATCACATTTATCAAGGCATTCAAGAACACATACTGGAGATAAGCCAAATAAATGTGATATCTGTGGTAAAAGGTTTTCTCAAACAGGAAATTTAAAAATCCATAAAATGACACATACTGGAAGTAAGCCATATAAATGTGATATCTGTGATAAAGGGTTTTCTCAAACAGGAAATTTAAAAATCCATAAAATGACTCATACCGGAGATAAGCGGTATGAATGTGATCTCTGTAATAAAAGGTTTTTAACAAAATCAAGGTTAATAATACATTTAAAGACTCATACTGGAAGTAAGCCATATAAATGTGATATCTGTGATAAAAGGTTTTCTCAAAAAGGATATTTAGAAATCCATACAATGACTCATACCGGAGATAAGCCACATAAATGTGATATCTGTGATAAAGGGTTTTCTCAAACAGGAAATTTAAAAATCCATAAAATGACACATATTGGAAGTAAGCCATATAAATGTAATATCTGTGATAAAAGATATTCTCAAGCAGGAAGTTTAAAAATCCATAAAATAACTCATACCGGAGATAAGCGGTATGAATGTGATATCTGTAATAAAAGGTTTTTAACAAAATCAAGTTTAATAATGCATTTAAGGACTCATACTGGAAGTAAGCCATATAAATGTGATATCTGTGATAAAAGGTTTTCTCAAAAAGGATATTTAGAAATCCATAAAATGACTCATACCGGAGATAAGCCACATAAATGTGATATCTGTGATAAAGGGTTTTCTCAAACAGGAAATTTAAAAATCCATAAAATGATACATATTGGAAGTAAGCCATATAAATGTGATATCTGTGATAAAAGATATTCTCAAGCAGGAAGTTTAAAAATCCATAAAATAACTCATACCGGAGATAAGCGGTATGAATGTGATATCTGTAATAAAAGGTTTTTAACAAAATCAAATTTAATAATACATTCAAGGACTCATACTGGAAGTAAGCCGTATAAATGTGATATCTGTGATAAAAGGTTTTCTCAAACAGGAAATTTAAAAAACCATAAAATGACTCATACTGGAAGTAAGCCATATAAATGTGATATCTGTGATAAATTGTTTTCTCAAACAGGAAATTTAAAAAACCATAAAATGACTCATACCGGAGATAAGCGGTACGAATGTGATATCTGTAATAAAAGGTTTTTAACAAAATCAAGTTCAATAATACATTTAAGGACTCATACTGGAAGTAAACCATATAAATGTGATATCTGTGATAAAAGGTTTTCTCAAAAAGGATATTTAAAAATCCATAAAATGACTCATACCGGAAGGCAGCCATATAAATGTGATATTTGTATTAAAAGGTTTCTTCGAAAAGTAGATTTGAAAAAGCATATCAAGATACATACTGGAGATAAACGATATAAATGTGATCTGTTTCAACACAATCAAATTTAATAACACATTCAAGGAAACATACTGGAAGTAGGCCATATAAATCTGTGTTAAAAGGTTTTCTACACAATCAAGTTTAACAACATATTTAATGACACATACTGGAGATAAGCCACATAAATGTGATGTTTGTGTAAAGAGGTGTTCTCAAGCAGGAAATTTAAAAATCCATGCAAGGAAATATACCATTGAGTCTATTAAAGTTCAAAATGTTTTGGTAATACCATAAACTAATCATTTGTTTTGTATTTAAAAGAATATATTATTACAAAAATCACTTTACTTTTATATTATCAATTTATGTATATTTTGTTCCTTTGGTAATTTACAATTATTTTGCTATTTTCTTTCCATTAGCAGGTTTTTTCCACTATTTATTTTAGTATTTTAATTCCTTTTTATAATTATGTTGAAAATTAATATAATTAAAAAAAATATTGGAGAATAGTCAGGTTATAACTAATCACTCCACTTTATAGTTGGTTTCGATTGGATCTCAACATTGAGTAAGTTACTGTGTTTGTGTGAATTATAAATTTTAAGTGTTTTAGGATAATCCTAATTTACCGCTGCCCATAGGAAGCTGCACACCTCATTATTCGTGGTTGTCCAAACAGGGTTACCGTTTGCGTGCTAAACATAATTTAATATATTAATTTTGAACATTTACCCGTAAGAGATGTGGCTTGTAATATCCATTGAGACAAATCAGAAAAAGAATCCGCGTCTTACGACGCATAGTTATGGTATAGTGCATGAAAGGGGGGTGGGGAAAGAGTGAGTTGATACATTAAAATAATGTCGGTGAAAAAATGACGACTGACGACGTGAGATATTGGATGTTGTTATATCGGATCGCCTCGCCCGCCGAATGTCCATCATCGCTTCCTTAGCCCATCATGGCGACGGTAGACACTGTGTGCAACATAATTTTCACAAGAGAATAAAATTGGATCAGTCAACTCCATTTAGTAAACTAAATCGTAAGACATCAAAAGTTAAAATATTAATTTAAAAATAATAGAAGATTTTTAATTTTTATCATTCTTAAATCAAATTTTTACTTTCTTGATTTTTAATCAAGTAAGTATAGTAATTGAAATGAAAAAAAGTCTGAATTATAAAAACTTTTAGAATTTGTGTTAAATAGGAAAATAATAAAAATTTATCCCAGTAATGGCGAGTAGATGGGTAATTTAGGTAGCTTTAATATAAAATATTAATGAGAGATTTGATATCACACCCAAGCAGTATAACCACTTAAATCCATAAAAACGTCGGCTTGAACAGTTCCAAAGCGTCTTTACTTTTCTCCTAAACTATGATAGCTACAAAGTTGGTTGACGACTCATTAAAAAGGGATTATCAATTAGGTAGGTCACAGAAAAAGAAGTTATTTTTCTCTAGATTTTCAATTAGCGAGGTAGATATCCAAAATTGGAGAACGGATTTTGTTGTTTGGGATCTTGTTAGATTTGCATTGGCTAGGAGAAGTGCAGAGAAGATTTTCAGAACTTTATCTCCAATTGTTAGTTCACTACCAAGCTGTAAAGCAGAAAAAAAACGGCCAATAAAATGTGTCTTAATTTTTTCCAATATTCTGTAGTGAATTAACTATTTAAGATAAAGTTCTGCAAATCTTCATTGCACTTATCCTAACCAATGTGAATCTAACAAGACCCCAAACAACGAAATTCGCTCTCCAATTTTTTTCGAATTCTTTTTCATTCTCTTCCTTCGACAGATCCTCAGTATTGAGTAACTCTATATCTAATTGGATGAAGTTGAACTTTCTATTTATTTGGGGCAACTCTTCTTGCCTAAATTCTAATAACGACAAGGCCTCAGTCTTCGGATCAAACCTTTTGATGAATTTCAACGTAAGCGTAAGTGTCCCTATGACCACACCACGTTTACGTCTGAGTTCCGACGATACCTTCATCGTGTCTCCGTCTAGCATCATGTCTGTATTTATGACAACATTTATGTTACAGAGGTACTGCTAACTCAATCCTAAATCAAGAGTGCCGAAAAACAATAAGCGGATTCTACAATCTTAATATATATAAATCTCGTGTCACAATGTTTGTCCTCAATGGACTCCTAAACCACTTAACCGATTTTGATGAAATTTTTTACAACGCGTGTAATTTGGTCCAACTTAAAAGATAAACTAATTTAAAAAGGGAGAGGACCAACCCCGGGAGGTGCTCAAACGGGAATTTTGAGATTTCCGATGGAAATTTTTGTTTATAAATGGTTGCCATGGGTTTTTAAGCTATTGCAATATTTGGATCTTTTTGTATTTATTATATATATTTGATAAATAACCTATCAATACCTATTGACAAAAAATAATGATACAAATCAAAAACATTCCCGATTAACCAATAGCAACCGATATAATATAATACACTGGTGGATTTTCCTAACATTTTTTTTTCATATAAACCTTATCCATGAAATACTTTTTCATTTAAAAAAAAATAAAGAAGATCTGATAAGAAGCTCCAGAGATAAGTAGTACAGAGATTTTCATTTCACATTTTAGATTCTGAGTGAAACGATGAATGTATTGATTTTACAATGATGTGTGTTTTTTTTTTTATTTTTATATTTATTTTTTTTGTGTCTGTGTACACGATAAGTAGTCGAAATAATGCTTCGATTTTCGACTTCAGTATCTTGTTCGATTGGAAAGTGAATATCGTTGGTGCATTGGGGAGGTCAAAATTTAAATTTCCCAGTAGTTTTCAAGAGCGCCGGGAAAAACAACATAAAAATTAAGGAAAAACGGGAATTTTTACGCAAAATCGGTTTTCCAAAAAATCGATTTTGGTTTTTGGTGTAACTTTAAAACAAATAACCGTAGATACATGAAATTTTCAGTGGTTGTTTATATTTGCATTTTCTATACACGATAACATTTTCAAAATATTTTGATTTATTTTGAACTGTTTAGGGACATTTTCAGTTTCCAATTTTATTAGTTTTTTTTTTATGAATATCAATAAAAATTTATTTGTTGAGTAAAAATACTTGAAAATTTAATACAAGGCTCCTACTATATTGTTTCAAAGACAGATGAAAAATATTAAAAATCGTTAGTCACAGTTTTTTTTTTTAAGCATTTAAAGTTCAAAAAATGACAAAATATGGAAAAATCACGAAAATTTGCAAATTATTTCGAGTTAGAAATTCATAAAAATTTTTCTTTTTAAATCTAAGATATGAAAATGTAATACAAGATTCCTTATAAGATTTCCTACATTTATCAAAAAAAAAATTCTATAAGAAAGTCAAATTAAATTTTTATGAGCGTTTGAAATTCAAATTTTTACAACATTGGATATTCACTCGATTTGTCATGTAGCGATTTTCTTATTTTGTTGTTATTCAAAAACGAATAACTATAGATACATGAAAATTTCACTGAATGTTTATATTAGCATTTCCTATACACCATAGAATTTTGAAAATATTTTGACTCTTTTTGAGCTGTTTATGGACATTTACAGCTTTCAATTTTTTTTAGTTTTTTTTTCTATAAATATCAATAAAGTTTTATCTGTTGGGCCAAAAAGTGTAAAAATTTAATACAAGGCTCCTGATATATTGTTACAATAACAGTTGAAAAATATTAAAAATACATAGGCACAATTTTTTTTATAAGCATTTAAACATCGAATTTTGACAGAATTTTTCAAAATCTCGAAAATTATTAACCATCGTAATTAATAAATTCTAAAATGTTCAGTTTTTATAGCTAAGGATTGAAAATTAAAAAAAAAGATTCTCATAAATAGGTCATACCGTAGCCAAAAAATCTAAAAAATATATGAGCACAGATATTTTTTACAGACATTTTAAGTTCAAATTTGGGACGAAATTACATATTAAAAAACCAAGCATACCTATTTTAGTTATTTTGTTGTGAGTGTATAATACTATTCGTGGGTACTTGAAACTTCTAAAGTACACTATATTATATATCAATGATAGTATCAGCCATCAGGGTTTGTTATTGATGTATAACGTGTTATAAGTACCTAGTTTATATTGTGATATGATTAATTTGGAATTTATTATAGGTCAATTTTTTTTTAATACCATAGATATGTATATAATATGTCTTAAACCTAGACTGACATACCGTCTTCGCTCAGAATCGTTTTTCTTATACAATGATATTGTATCATTGAATTCAAATTTAATACCATCCATTATACAGTGACCCACTTGTAACCTACTGTACAGCAGAGCGACATCCACTTCCCCACCTTTTTATAGTTAGATATTATATTACAATCTTTCTTTACATATAAAAATGGAGACAAAAAATTTGAAATGGCATCAGTTGAGAACGGCTGGGCCGATTTTGCTCAAATTTTTTTTAAATGATAGAGAATGTCGGTGAGCGGGTTTATAGCATAAATTATGGACCTAACTCATGTTAGTTAGAGATTTAGAGACAAAAACTGAGTTACACCGGTGGCGCCCTCTAGCGGATAAAAATATAAATATAATATAAATAATAATAAAAATCGAAAAAAAAATATATTTTTATATTCTGGTTGATATACATTTTTTATTATAGACACTTATAACTTTAGAGTAAACAAATATAATAGTTGGCACATTATTCATTTTACTTTGAAACATTATCGTTTTATGTTTTCTATGAACTTTTTCAATCAAAAACGACTATTGTTTTTTGGAGAGAATTTTTATGCTTGAATCATGCCTCCTATGAGAAGAACAAACATTGGACGGCGTACACGTAATGCAAGTCACATTTTAAAATAATATAATATCTTCTTATTTATTTTATCCAATTAAATAGATAACAATACAACTAAATAACAAACTTTGAATATAAACAAATGAATAACAATCTTAAAAAAACAATATTTTTTTATTAAAATTAAAAATAAAGAAAAACTTATGTACCTAATTTTATTGAATCAGTCTTTGATTTACAAATTATAAGCATATGATATGTG